CTTGGCCCTTCAAGGCCCGTCACAGAGTCTGGCTACAGCGTTTGACACGGAGGATCAACAAAGGAACGACAGCCGCCCCGGCACCATGGAATCGGCGTCATCGATGGAGATGAGTGGGACTTTGTACCCGAGAGGACAGTTCGGCCAGGTCCAGGACGTGAGCTATAACAGCAGCCAGAGCAGTCTCCAAGATGGGCAGGATGACCGGAGCGATCATCTGACCCCCAAGAGCACTGGCCCGATGTCCGCCGGGCCGTCACCAAGTATCGGACAGTCGAGGACGCAGACGGGAGGGACAGCGGTTGGCACGGCGACTCCATCCGCACACCTGTCTGGGTTAATGTGCAACGTGCACAGGACGACGGGAAGGGAACCACATCCTCTTGTTGGGGCCACGACCACGATCCTGGGCGACAAGCTCTACGTCTTTGGCGGGAGGATATTGTCCAGGAGCCGGCCGGCGCCCCTGACGGCGGATCTGTACGAGCTGGATCTGATCCGTCGCCATTGGACGAAGCTCGAGACGTCGGGCGACATACCGCCGCCCCGTTACTTTCATTCCATGTGCGCGCTGGGAGACACCAAGATGGTCTGCTACGGCGGAATGTCGCCGACCACGAGCCAGAAGAACATACCACAAGACCAACAACCCGAAGTCACAGTCATGTCGGACATTTACGTCTACGACGTGCCAACCAGAAAGTGGACCTTCATCCCGACTCAGGACGCGCCTCAGGGCCGATACGCACACTGTGCATGCGTGCTCCCGTCTTCGGCGACGTTTGCCTCGCATCGAGCCCCGCTCTCGGCGCTGCAGCACAATCCCTCGACTGGCAACCCGAACGAGGGCCGGATAGGCATCAACATCGACGGGACTGGTGGTGCCGAGATGGTTGTCGTCGGCGGCCAAGACGCTTCGAACCACTACATTGAGCAGATTAGCGTCTTCAACCTGCGCAGCCTGAAATGGGTCTCGACCCAGCCGCTGGGCAAGAGCTGTGGTGCCTATCGCAGCGTGGTGGCGCCGCTACCGCCCTCCGTCACAGCCAAGCTCGGCAAGACGTTCCCCGGGGCCGGACGGCAGGAGATCGGGGGCATCAGTCAGGAGGCGAGAGAGCCCGGCTCCAGCATGCTCATCTACAGCAACTACAACTTTCTAGACGTCAAGCTCGAGCTGCAGATACGCTCACCCGACGGACACCTCACGGAGCGGGCCATGAGCGGCACGTACAGTCCCCCCGGGCTTAGGTTTCCCAACGGCGGGGTCATTGATACGCATTTTGTCGTGAGCGGCACGTACCTCACCTCGTCCAAGCAGGAATACGCGCTCTGGGCGCTAGACCTGCGGACGCTCACCTGGAGCCGCATCGACGCCGGCGGCGCCGTGTTCAGCCAGGGCAGCTGGAACCGCGGCGTCTTGTGGAACCGGCGGAACACGTTTGTCGTGCTTGGCAACCGGAAACGGAGCCTTGTGGACGACTACAACCACCGGAGAATCAACTTTAGCAACGTCTGCATGGTCGAGCTTGAGGCGTTTGGGTTCTACGATAACCCCCGAAAGACGGCGCCCTTGAGCGGCTTTGTCAGCGCCAGCAGTCCCTACACGGGTCCCGGCTTGAGCCTGGCCCGTAAGGCGGGCTTCACGGCCGGCGGGAGGTTCCACAGCCGCGCTGCCGAAGAATTGGGCGAAAAGGCGCTCGTGTTGAGGGAGCTGGCCGATATGGATATCCTCTGCATCGGTGGCGAGCGGATACCGGTCAACTCGAGGATCGTCGCGAGGAGATGGGGTCCATACTTTGTCCAGCTGCTGAGGGAAGGCACCGCCACCCAAGATGGCAGCGACGCCGCGACGCTCCGATCCAACTCGGTCTCCGGGCCCAGCGGCTCGATCCGGGCGTCCAACCTCACCATCACCCCGACCAACATGAGCGGCAGCACGCTGTATTCCATCAACAGCTCCAGCAGCAAGTCCAGCAACAACAGCATGATGGCGGCACCGTCCGGTGGTACTGTGGCGGCAGCCGTCGACCCAGCCGCCATCAACACGGCCCCGACGCCGCGCACGCTCGCGCCCAACAGCCGGCCCCGGTGCCTCTACCTCCCGCATACCTTCCTCACCGTCCAGGCGCTGCTCCACTTTGTATACACGTCGAGCCTGCCCGCGCCGTCGTCGCCGCTCTGTACGCCGCAGATCCTCTGCAGCCTCCTCCAGATCGCGCGGCCGTACCGCGTCGACGGCCTCGTCGAGGCCGTCGTCGAGCGCCTGCACGGCCTGCTCGACAGCCGCAACGCGGCGGCCGTGTTCAACGCCACGGCCATGGCGGCCGGCGGGGGCCGCGGGATTGATGGGTCGCTGAATCCTAATTTCTTTCCGGTGGCGGCCGGGCTGGATGGGTTGGGCGGTGGTGGTGGTGGTGAGGGGCCAGTGACAGGGGCGGGTGGGAGTAGGAGCGTGGCTGGCAGTGAGACGGGCGCGGATGGGACTGGTTCTGGTTCTGGGACTGGTTCTGGTGGTGCTGGTGGGAAAAACAAGCTCAAGATCAGCACGGCTGGGCTGCCTAGGCCGGGCAGCGACGAGCCCCTGAGCGCCACGTCGGCGAGCGACATGAGCGGGAGCGAGTGGAGCGCGTCCGAGTTTGGGGATAGTGAGAGGGGCGGCAGTGGGAGGGAGGTTTGGGGTGGGGACCTGAGCAGTGTTATTGGGTTGCAGAAGAGGGGGTTGAGGGGGCTGATGGAGGGGAGGAGGATGAGGGAGCGGACGGGGACTGGGACCGGGACCGGGGCGGAAATGGCGGGTGGTGGTGGTGGTGTTGGTGCTGGGGTTGGGGTTGGGATTGCTGGGCCAGGGCCGCAGGGGCCGCAGTATGGGCAGGGGAGAGTTGGGTTGGGGATTGCTGGGTCGTAGAATGGATCAAGAATATTCCCGGGTGGGGGGGCTGGATTTTGTGGTGGATGGGGGGAGGATCTGCTGGTAGCATACTGATATGGAACTGGTGTATCTTTGGGTAGTTGATACCGGGGTGGTGAGGTGACGTTAGACGAAGGGATGAGATCATGGCTGATTTAAACGTGCTATGTTTTTGGTGAGTGTGGATGTGTTACCACTGAGACGACAGGCTCATATGTACCGTTCATGGCCGAGCAGGTGCTTGGGAGACTCTCGCATCTTCGGTCACGATACCTTGGCTACCGTATTTTACTGAAGGTCGGTGTGGTGGTGGATTTGAATCGGCTCTGCAGGCATCATGTCTGCATCGCCAGTATGAACCTCCGAGGTGTTTGTGTTGTCAGCGGTTATTGTTCCCACGCCGCAGCAGCGAGTTTGTCAGTCAGCAATCGTTCTGTCAAGGCTTAGGTAGATAGCCGCTTGGGAAAGGAAAATAGGGGGTCAAATGGGCAAGCGGAGATGATGGTGGAGGTTGGAGGTTGGAATGAAGCAGGAAATGGGTGGCCAAGGTGAAGAGGGAGGGTCGTGAGAGACGGAATGAATGACGGGGATGCTGATAGTTACCTTACTTGTACCTAGGTGGTAGGCAGTGGGGAGTGCACCCAGGAAGGTAAAGACAAGCAAGGTAGACGGATCCGTTGTTGCTGATTACCTTGAGTTATGTCAAGGTTGGAAGAGAGTATTGATGGATACATTGATTAGCTCAAGTATTGCCTTACGGTTTCCTCTTGGTGTATCCGATTCCGTTGATGATTGGCAACGCTATCCTGTCTCACTTTGCTTTATTGTCGCGATACAGGGCTACCATCCCTGGCGTCGACGGAGGAATTACCTAGGGACGTGGCTGTAGTTAGGCACCTGGTAGTCGATCACGGCCTTTGGACATCGATGGCGCAACCTTGAAAGACTACCAGGTGATGATGTAGTCATCTGGGGATTGAAGTAGTCGAAGCGAATCAGTTGGCAGTTGGTATGATGGTTCCGATGTCATGGCAGGGGCCAGTATATAACGCTATGAAGCACGCAGCATGAAGATTGGATGAAGTCGATGGCTTGGAGTTCCCCAAGCCTTGAGATGTCGTGCTAATTACAGGCAATGTGTGATATTCAGAGCGGTACAAGGATGATGATAATCAAAAGACATTGCAGTTCCATAGCTCTTGCAAGCGGATCAAGAATTAGGGTGATTGATACCATTTGACGAGACCCATTTCCCGACTCACTATGCAAGTCCCAAGATTCCCCTTTGTGCTACACCTCTCTGCTGCCCTTGCCAACAACCTCAAGCAGTGACCCTGGGCTTGGGCGAGTCATGGGGTCCTCGGCCGCAGGGCAAGAAAGCCAACACTGTCTTCATTCTGACGGACGACCAGGATTTGCACCTGCAGTCGCTCGATCTCCCCTTGATCAAGAAGCATCTGATTTCCCAGGGCACCTTACACAAGCGCCACTGCTGCACCATGGCCATCTGCTGCCCGTCGAAAGTCTCGCTGTGGACGGGCAAGCTGGCGCGCACACCATGGACAACTACAAGGCGCCCTAGGTTTATTACGGCCGGTTCGGAATAGCTCCAACTTTCTCCTCGATTCTTACACATACATCCATGTACCTCAACGCGCCAGCTTCCAGCGCAACAGTGACCGGCCCGTCAACCACGCAACGCAGCACTCGAACGACGTGCTGGCGCAAAAAAGGCCCTCGACTTCCTCGACGAGGAAGCCTCCTACCTCGTGCACTATTACCACGACCGACTCGTAATTAACAGCTCAACAACCTCCTCCACAGCTCCGCTACGCCGCCGGCCATCCGCCGGGGTTTCCTTCATCAACAAACTTTTGCCCGACTCGAAGCTTTGCTCTTAAGAGGTGTTCAAGTCGTGCAAGTACCAGACTTGTGCCCAACCGTGGCACGCCCTGCATCAAGCAACGCCCAGGCTTTGCACCACGCCCTGTCCAGCCGCTTGCATCTGCTGTATGTGCTTGTACGAGCACAATTCGAGAATATCATCGACGCACCAACAAAACCTCATAAATATCTAAATAGATCAAAACAATGACCGACCCAGGGATCGAACCTGGCACCTTCTCGGGGAAGTTAATCCGTATTGTATTCAACTAATGTGAACGAGACGTGATAACCACTACACCAGTCGGCCAATTAGAGAGTGCATATCACACCAGACAAACTTAGCCTATGTAACAAGTCAGTGCTCGTCAAAAGATGGAAATTTGGTGCAGCCCGAGTTCTGGGACAAACCCGAAAGCCATTTTATGTTTGTTGTCTCATTCCCCAATTGCCATCAAGCCAAGTCTTGAGAGCAGCACTCAGTCTTGTTGTTTCCGGGTCTGGCTGAAAAGCCACAGTATCTGTGGCTGAACCAATCGCGCCCATTCTCGCAGCCTCAGCCGATGGAATGGCCCGCAACAGCCAATCAGCAGCAAGCCAGCCGCAAGATCCGACCCGCCCTCGCAGCGGCACCGGCAAAAGCTGTGTAACCTCTGCAAACACGGTTGTCGGGTTCGAAATGTATTTTCAGCTGCCATAACTCGGTTCCAAAAGCATTGGATTCCAGGCCGAGGTCCGCCGCGGCAGCTGTTTTCTCGAGTTTGTGGTTGTGGCAGTTTCCAACGTCGTGAGCCGTTCTTCTGCCTTTCTCAAACTGTTGTTCGCGCTTCCAACGACTCCCAAGAAAACAAAGGAGAGGCATTTTCTCACCCTGTCGTCATGATCGGGCCCCTGATGAAGCAGTGGATTCCCGTGGAGCCCGTGCCGCCGATCTGGCGACTTGGAACCCTCCATTTCGAGATAGAGTGGGGGCCTCGTGGGGGCCTACAGGGCACCCTGGCTCAACAACAGGAGCCTCATTGCCTGAGGACATCAGAAACCCGGACTGAAAATTTTCGGCGACACCAACCCCAGGCCACAGCTCCGTTCGCCTGTCAAGACCCGGGGCTCCATGAGCTTTCATAGGAGCGCTAGCCGTGATAGCTTCCATACAGATCTGTGTTGCTGGGCCCATCGATCGTGTCCACCGTGAGGAATTGTGACAGTTTTGTTGGTGATGGTGTTTGTTGGCCCCCGAAACAGCGGCTGAGTCCCGGGGACGACCACGGTTTTGTGTGCGCGCCGCGTCCGAGATTGCCCGACCGCTCCCAAAGTGCCGCAGCAAATTTTTTCCTTCTTCTCACTGTCCTCCAACCTCACAATCCCGACCCACAACTGAGCTTCAAGTGGAGATTTCTTCCAAACAGGCCTCGGATTGACCACTCAGGTTGCTTGAATCCTCTGGTCAAACCCGTTGCCCGGACCAGCCCGAGGTTCCGCTTCCCCAGCTGACCACCTGTTCTTGATTTTCGCTCTCCCCTTCCTCCTCTTTTTCCCTCTGCCACTCAGTCGAGCCATCGCCTCTGCCTCAACCACCAAGAGTATCATCGCCATCCCTCCCCGGACCCATCTTTGCAAATCCTCTGCATACTCTTCCCATCAGTCACAATGGCTTCCACCCGTGTGCTCGCCTCGCGCCTGGCCTCCCAGATGGCCACCAAGGCCGCCCGCCCGGCTGCCCGTGTCACCGTTGCCAACACCAGCAAGCGGACCCTGACTGGTGAGTTTGTCGCCCATGTGCTGCCGCCGCAGCCTCGATCATGTCGTCCCGATTCGGAACCGTCGATCTAACGGGAATTTTTTTTCCCTTCGCGTCTTCGCAGCCGCCAGCAAGGCCTCTCCCCTCCAGGCCGCCAAGCGCCAGCAGATGCCGTCCATCCTCAATGCCACCACCCGGCAGGCCTTCACTGTCCAGCGCCGTGGCTACCAATCTGAGATCGCCCAGGCCATGGTCGAGGTCTCCAAGAACATTGGTATGGGCTCTGCCGCCATTGGTCTCACCGGCGCCGGTATCGGTATCGGTCTCGTCTTCGCTGCCCTTCTCAACGGCGTTGCCCGCAACCCTGCCCTCCGTGGCCAGCTCTTCTCGTACGCCATTCTTGGCTTCGCTTTCGTCGAGGCCATTGGTCTTTTCGACCTCATGGTTGCCCTCATGGCCAAGTTCGTAAGTATCCACCGTAGCCTTGGCGAGCCTCCATCGAGTCCGAGTCCACATCCTAACCGGCCGCCAGACTTAAGCGCATCTTTTCCGAGACACTCGGGCGGAATTGGCGTCGATGCCCCGCGGCAGCCTTCGATCGCCTGTACATATCGGGGACAAGGGGGGCCCGCAGCGGATGGGGTGTGTACGAGAAGTCCATAGTCGTATGCAAGCCTGCATTGCATTGCGTCGACTACTGAGACGGGGAGTGTGCATGGGATAATGGCGGGGAATCGCATCACAATAGACGGGGCCACATAGACCAAGATCGGGGAGAACTTCCAGGGCGATCCGACCGTCTTGTCGTCGGCACTGCCGGCGCCACCTTGTACATTACCCGCGGCGAGTCTTGATTCCTGGCTCGCCGGGGACAAGACCATCACAAAATTTCATTTTGTTTCTCGCACACTTTTCTTCCCAACTCGTCGAATCGAGGCCAGCCCTGATTGCTCTCAATCCGGAGAAACTGCAATCACTTGGTTGCGTCCATGCCATTGCCCTTGATTCATCCTTCGCAAAAGGAAAACGGTAGGAGAAAACAGGTCAAATGGTCAAACAGACGAGACGAAAGGCAAATGAAAATGCTGTTTGAACCACACCTTGTTGGTGTTTCGAGCGCACCAGACTCGGATTCTCCACTTTGACACGCGAGTTTCCCACGGAAGAATGGTCCGCGATGGAGGACTCCACCCGGCCAGAAGCTAGCGGTTCCCCGTGAACCAGGGGCGGCTCACAGGCGAGCGGCATCCGATGTTGTCGTTCGTGAAACTGAATATCAATGTACGGGTGGTTGTTACGTTGCTGTCGCCGTCGTCGATTTTGGCGGGATTCTAAAGGAGAGAGAGAGGAAGAGGGGAAAGAGACGGGGAGGCTGGCCCTAGAACCTGGAAGTCAATAATAGCCGGGACCACCCCCTCTTATTTGTGCGATTTGAGTGCCCCCTTCCTCTGTCGGGTCTTTCCACGCTTGGGGTCACCCTCTTTCCGCCGCCGCTTCCGTTTTGGAACTTCCCCTCACGGCATCTCTTATGCGGACGGGAGGGAGGCGCTCTTGGTGCGTCAGGTGATGCGGGGAAGAGAGACATTGTGTCACCCAGCCCGGGGGGTGCTGTTGTTCACCATGGACAACTCGATTCACTTCCGTTCGATATTTTAAGAGACCAAGTGGCCTGGTGGTCAGACTTTGTGAAACGATTTAGTGGGAAACCGGCGACTGAACTACGTACTTCACAGGATCCCCGGCGGTGGAATGCTTTCCAGTCTCGCCGCTGAAGTGTGAAATGAGGTGACACTCGAGCTGAGCAAATGTCGCGTGACCGCATCCCTCCCGCCGTTTTGATCATTGCTCTCCCAGGGAACAGACAAATTGTCCGTCGTGGCGTAGGCGAGCAGACAACGTACTCTAGTTTCCAGGTTCCACATGAATTCACTGACCACCCTCACTGCTTTCGCGTAGGTCCGCCTCTTCCATTCCTCCAACGCCGAGCCTGTCGGCCCCGATCACCTGCATATGAGGTACCATTCTTCGTGTTCCGCCTTGACAAATCGCAGACTTGAGCGGAAGTCAGAGCTGTAGCTTGCCAATGCCACACAACCCGGCCATCGCATCCGCATAGGACGTAGCGGCTGAGAATCTTGGACATCAATACGGGTTCCGAGGGAAGCCAGTTGACGGTCTTTGAACAGCACTCCATTACCGCAAGTCTATCCTCTATATTGCCTGCATATGGCCCCGTCTCCCATCAACATCATCCCATGCCCCTCTCAAGCCGCTTTACGACTTGATCAGCAAGCTCGCACCCGTCATCTCCGGGGGGATAGGCAGCCCCATGGCCTCGAGCACAGTGGGAGCGACGTCGCCCAGAACGCCGCCGTCCTTCTTCAGGCTCCAGCCCTCGGGCGCATTGGCCATGATGAAAGGAACATTGTTGGTGGTGTGCGACGTCTTGGGCTTGCCGTCAGGGAACTTCATCTCCTCGGCGTTACCGTGGTCGGCCGTGATGAAGAGGATGTAGCCCGACTTCTTGCAGCCCTCGTAGATCTTGCCAATGGCCTTGTCCGTGGCCGCGCAGCCGACGATGGCGGCCTCGTAGACGCCTGTGTGGCCGACCATGTCCGGTGGCGCAAAGTTGTTCATGACGAAGGGGAACTTCTGCTCCGCCATGCGCTTGCAGACTTGGTCGGCGACGCCGTCGGCGCTCATCTCGGGTGCCTTGTCGTAGGTCGCTACGCTCTTGTTCGAGGGCACGAGGTCCTGCGACTCGTCGCGCATCTCCAGGGGGAATACCTTTTCGACGCCGCCGTTGAAGAAGAAGGTGACGTGGGCGTACTTCTCCGTCTCGGCGATGTGGACCTGCTCAACGCCCTGCTTGCCGAGCCACTCGGCGAGCACGTTGCCCATGTGCACGGGCTTGTAGGCGATCTCGAATGGGTAGTCAACCTTGTACTGAGTCATGGTGACGAGGTTGATCTTGGGGTAGGGGAAGTCGGGCCGGGGGGACCGGTCAACGTCGCCCATCAGCTGGGTGATTTGCCGGACACGGTCTGACCGGTAGTTGAAGAAGAAGACATTGTCGCCGTCTACGAGAAGTCAGTGTTTCGGTCGTCCACAAAGCACTGGAAAGAGCGCGTACCCTTGATACGGCCCTCATCGCCACCGACGATGATGGGCTTGAGGAACTCGTCGTTCTCGCCCTTCTCGTACCGCTCCTTGACCGTCTTGACGGGATCGTCGCTCTGCTCACCCTCGCCAAGGACCATGCCCTTCAGCGCAATCTCCACACGCTCCCACCTCTTGTCACGGTCCATAGCGTAGTACCGACCGACGACGGTGGCGATCTGGCCAACGCCAATCTCCTTGACTGTCGACAGCAGCTCCTCCATGTACCCGGCGCCCGACTTGGGATCCGTGTCACGGCCATCGCCGAAGAAGTGGATGAAGACCTTGGGCACGCCGCACGCCTTGGCGGCCTTGAGGAGGGCATACAGATGTGTTTGCTTCGAGTGCTGCAAACAGGAGTTAGCACCCCTCGTTATCTGCGTGCACGAACTGGTCACCGACCACACCGCCGT